CTTTGGTTCGAATACTGCTGTTCATCTAGGAACTTCTGAAATGTGGCCACATCTTCTTCGGAAGATCCTTCTTTAATAGCTTTTGTGTAGCTGAAATATACTTGCCCGTTGTTCTTTTTGATTTTGCGGTAGACTGCTACACTGCCTGATGATTCCAGGTTAAAGTATCCAACATCTCTATTCTCCTCCTTCGATACCACAGAGCCAAAGGCGCCAATGTAGAATCCAGGATGACGATAGTTTGTGGGATTGGAATTTCTCTTCAAGTCTCCCGACTGTTTAAAGCACGACTCGCGGAAGAAGAGTTTGCCGCCTGGACGTAGCCATTTGACTGCTTTCTTTGCAAATTCCTTCACTTCCTCATCCTCCATGTACATTAATATCCAGTTGGAGAAGATGACATCAAAGGAGTTCGGCTCTGCCTCAAGATGGACAACGTCCTTGCACAGAAACTTAATGTTGCCCAGGTGGCCGTTCTTGTCCTCATTCACTTTGATGAAATCCTCGATGAACTCCACAGCCGTGACGGATTTGGCCTTCGTGGCAATGACAGACGTGAGTAGTAATATCCGGAACATTACGCCGCCAGTTTTTTTTCTTCCCGTAATTTACCAACGAGACTAGGGCTAATGCTTCTCTCCAAACAGCTGCGATTTTGAGCGATGCAACCGCTCACCACCCTCTGGTGCGAAGGAGGTCTCCTCCACACCTCCAAGCACCACAGATAGAAACAATACATTCACACGCAACAACAAAAAAAATACATGATTTAAGGCAGCTCATCAATAGCAGCCTTCAGCTTAGGCATCTTGTCATTAATGAAGTCATTTTTTTTCATCCATTCGATGTAGTTGTCATCGATTGCTTGGATCTGCTTAATGGTCTTACCTTTGTACTTACCAAAGGTCATGAGAAACGAACCATCATCGTTAGTAAACTTCGACTTCAAGAAATCAGCGATCGAGGGATTGGAATCAATCAAAATTGTTTGATTCAGTAACCAGCGGCAATAGCCGGGATCAGAGGCATATACGTCTTCGATCGACTTGGACTTGTGCTTGCCAAAACTCAATGTTGTACTCATCATTTATCAGTGGGTAGTCTATATACATAGCCCTTAAGAATATTTTGAAAAATATTAATTAATTAGACTTACACTCAGCGATAGCTCGAATATATTTATATGGTAAGTAAATCACTTGTGAGTAGCTGAGAAGCTAATTTATGACGAGGTAGAATTGATAACATTTTTCTTCAGAACTTAGTTAGCAGTGTATTCAAGTACTTCACCTGTCAAACGGTTATAAGTCATCTCGTTCTCAAATCCAACAAGTACCAGCATATTGGTACCCTGCGTTGAGGCGTTTGTTCCCATGACCTGGATGCTCTGGGGAACATCCTTCTCAGTCAAGCGAGAAACATCGGCTACAAGCACTCTGTTGGTTTGCTGCCAGGTCTGATAGTCAATTAGACCATTCGATAGCTCCTTCGTCTGGTCGCCGTTGATAGAGGCCAGCTTAGAGAATTCATTGCAGAAATCCATGAAGTCATAGTCATACGAAATGTCAAACACTTGCTGGCTACCAATGCGAACATTGAAGTTGCGAATCGATGAACCAGGTTGAACAGTCCATGGGGCACTATCGAAACAGCTCTGGAACTGTTGAATGGTAGCAGTGTTGAAATTACCGCTTGAAGTCTCAGCAAACGGAAGCAAAGCTACTACCTTAGCGTTCTTCAGCGAAGCGGGTAGCTGGAGGTCGAATGCAGTATTCAGCTGGGTAGTAGATACACCCGTGCCTGCTCGCTGGTAGAACCACTGAGCGTAATAATCCATATAACGAACGGTTTTATTCGGCTTGCTGATTAGAGCCTGAGGGTTTTCAAGATCTACAAACGGAACGTAGAGTCGAGTAGTCGTGAAAGGGAAGTAGGTCGAGTCAATTGTAGGCTCGAGCGAGTTGGTAATCGCACCCCAAGCCACAGAAATTTGCCCAGCTGCCGAAGTACCAAATACACCAGAGTTGGGGCTATTAGAGCCAGTGCCAGAAGCTACCATAATCGGGCAACTCTGGCCCGATACGAGTGTTGTCGAAGACAGTGTCATTGATTTGGTGGTCGAGGGCAATAACTGAATTGCCCTGATTAACTCGAAAGCGAAGCTTGATCTGAGGATTGGCTATAAGGTCCAACTCCTTAAAGATAGGATGGAGATCAACCAACTTGATCTTGAGCATATAATTCCACGTACCAGCTACGGCACTTGCTGCGGTACCTCCAGGGACAAAGGCGCCACGACCGAATTGGTTCGTGATAGTATTAGCAGCAGCAGAAGCGGTGGTTGCCCAACCATTGGTATTTACACCACCTGCCGTTGGCGGGTTAGCCAATAGACGTTTGAGAAAGCCATCGTTTGCTTGTAAAACGCCAGATCCAGTGCTTGAAGCAACAGAGTATACTCCAGTTAAATCTGAAGCAGTGTTCGAATAACCATCTCCATATGGGGGCGATGATCCATTAGACCACTGCATAGAGCCAGGTGAATCAGGGAACAGAAAATCTTCAGCACCATGTTTATTTACATAGTCAAGCGAAGTCTCAGCCTGAGCACGAAGGTTATTAGCAAATAGCTTGTATTCACTCATACTAATAACAGACTTACCATTGAGTTCAAGAGACATGCCATCGATAACATTCCAAACACCACATTTCAGGCCGACTGATAGACGATTAGCAGCAGCTGCAAGAGCAGTACTTGCATGGGTATTCTTCATACTAACCTTGTACGGAATGACTACATATGCATCACGAAGGCAAGCAAACCCCTCAGCGCCGTTTAGCTGAGCTGTGGCATCGATTGTGATAATACCATTTGCGTACGAACCCTGATTAAGATCGATTACGTATGGTACACGCTTACGGGAACTGACCTTTACGGCCGGGTCGCTCTTCAGCGAGCTCTGATACAGAAATTGATCAGCGAGTTGGGTATCGGTCATAGTTGAACGTAGTTATATCTGAGTTGATATAGCTTCCACGAAAAAATAAATAAATGGATCTCATTAAAGGTATTAGCAGCGATCATGACCTTATAGCATTAGCCAAAAAACTCAATGTGCATCTCGACGCCATTTATGAGTCAAATGAGATCCAAAAGCCACTTCCGAAGAATGGTTCATTTTTGATACTGCTACGTAAGCCTAATCAGGATGTAGGACACTGGACGGCTGTCTATAACCACGAATACTATGATTCTATGGGAGAAGGGCCTCCGCGCGAGTATGGTATCAGCAAATACAATGAACTTCAAACTCAATCAGCACAGGGAGAATACTGTGGCATATGGTCGATGCTATGGTTATACGCGAAGCAACATAATCGCATGGATCTATTCAATGAATTTAAGGATTTAAATATTTTTGTTGCAGATTAGTTCTGAGTTAAATATACTAACAGTCATGTACCGCGAATTAACTATCTCAAGCGGAGTCCCAGCTCATAAATTGCGAAAAGCTTTTCGCGATGGCAAACTATCACTAACGGCAGCTGAGCTACAGGGATCAGGTGCTAAACTACATCTTCATCCAGAATCACATGAGAAGGTGCTCAAAGCTAAGAAAGCTGGCCGTGGCGTTCGTCTCCATATTACGAGGCATGAGATTAAGAAGGGATACAAAAAGGCTCAAGGAGGGTCAATCTGGAGCAAGATCTGGCATGGAATCAAATCCGGTTTCAGATTTGCCAAGGATAGTGGTTTACTTAGCAAGGCAGCCGATGCCGCCGTTCCAGCGCTTGCGACTGCACTTGGTCAACCAGAACTCGCAGTACCCGCCAGAGCAGGTCTAAAAACCTTAACAGGTGTAAGGCTGGATGGGTATGATAGCGATGAGGAGGGTGGTCGTATCAGTATGGCTGACGTAAAAAGACACGCTGGTAATGCTCTTCGTTATGCTAAGGAACGAGGCATCCTTACGGATACTGCCGACGCTGGTGAGCGATATTTAGTCAGCAAGTCTAATAATAAAGACCATCATGACATGATCCATCAGGTTCGTCAGACGATTAAATCACGTTATGGCATTGGTGTCTCTAAACCACGGAAAGGTAAGTTTGTAAAGGGGTCGCAAGCCGCAAAAGATCATATGGCAAAGCTTCGCGCTATGCGTAAGAACAAGCACGGTGGATCCTTCACAATGTAATGATTAAAAAAAGAAGTTTTTTTTTGCTTATGGTCGTTTTCGTAGAAGTAGCATAATATTCACGCTCGTATCCCGGAAATGGACTCTCTGATCGTTCTGATTCCAGATGCTGATCGATACTGTATTCCTTGCTCCATCATGTGTACGACACCAAGTCTCGTGACTTGGAAAATATTGAATCTGTTTCCCGATCGTTGAATCACCTTTATCGAACACGGACATGATATCACCACTAGCTACGAAATCATTCTTGATAAGATCACACCTGACAACGTAGGAAGACGTAGGCGAGATCTGTGGGATAGTGTTGGATAGAGTACTAACAGCAGTTGTTGATGGTGATGCTGGATATGAACCAAGCGTTAGACCAAGCAAAGAGCCAAAAGCAGCGTTATTGATGATTAGACGCGGCACGCGGGTTGTCGTCGGTAGACCAGATCCACCTGTTGAATAAAGGCCAGTGGATGGTCGACTATATCCAGTTGGTAAAGAGGTTGGAGTAGCGCTGCAGTCAAGCTGGCAAGCGTAATAGGTCGAATTCTCTTCGATTTGAATATAGAAGACATTGTTACCATTAGAATCAATTAGATATGCTCCAGCATTGACTAGAGCCGTTTGAATATTTCGATTGATATCACTGTATAGATAATAACCATCAGCGAGATTGACACTAATAACGCTTGTTGTTGCAGCTGTTGGGACTTCGATTTGAAAGCTGGTATTGGCGAACTGAATCGAATCAACGTTGAATTCAGAGTTATATAGAGAGATCGATTGAATCGATGCTTCTACATCCTGGAAATT